TAGTTCGATTCAGGTAGACTGTACTGTGTGTGATCGTCTCTGTAGGTCAGTAAACAATCAAAGAAGAAAGTACAAAATAATAAAAAAAATGTAAAGGGGGTAATGGTTCATAAAGCAAACTGACTGATGTAAATGATAGGGGGTGGTTGTGGGGATTCTTTGCGTACTATTACCCCCTAACTCATATCAATAATGCAAAGTTTCAGGTACTGTTAAAAGGAGAAGAGAGATATTAAAATGTGATATGTTTCAGTTTGTGTTTCAATTAATCCAAAACCCGTTAGTCAACAGAATTCATCGATAGCCGCCTGGAAGTTCGGAAGTAGGTAGGTATTTCATGAAGTTTCATACAGAATATGAAAACATACAAGGCGTTTTACAGCAAGGTGCCAAAAATAAAATAATGTTTTTGTTCAAATTTAAATTTCATTGTGCTTCTGTTCAAATTCAATCTGTAGTTTCAAGTGAGTCAAGTACAGATTAAGAAATTATTAGAGATATACGGGTCTTAGTCCTGTAGCCAGGGAGGGTTCCAATTGCCTCCTTCAGTTAGATGGAGTTACAAAAGTGTTTTTTTGTGTATTTTGAGCTGTAGAACACGAATTTTTTGGGTAGAAGTTTGCCCGGATGTCGATAAGTTTTTTATTAACAAAAAAGTTGCGAAATACTGAGAACTTGGTTTTGGCAAAATAAAATTATTGTAATATTGCAAATTTTCATTAAATCGTTAATGTGTCGTTCGGTTTTCATCGTTTCTTTGGTCTAGAAATGAAAAGAATACGCGTCAAGATCGTGTATTAAACGCCTGTAAGAAGGCAACCGCTCTCTTACATACATGGCGGCGCACCCTTCTGAACGCTCGATCGCTATTTGTTTATAGCTTCAAATAACAGTGGAAAAAAACAAATTTTCACACTGCAATTACTCATAATTTGTAGTATATATCGTGAACTTTCAAACGGCGTCAGCAGAATTACAAAATACCTATTCAATTAAAATCGATTGAAAATAGCAAAAATCGCATTTTTCGAGTTTTTAACGGCGTTTATCTCGACAAAAAAATTGCAAGAGACATTTTCTTCTTAAAATGGGTCAAAGAACAAGAAAACTTTTTTTTATTTTTGCCAAAAACTAAGTTTTCAGTATTTTACAAGTTTTTTATTAATAAAAAACTTATCGACATCCGGGCAAACTTCTACCCAAAACATTCGTGTTCTACAACTCAAAATACACAAAAAACAATGTATTATGTAAAAATTTTAATGAGTTTTTTTTTAACCAAATATGTTAAAATTTATCGGGACCAAATTAGATGCTGTTAAAATTTAACCTGGCTTGACAAATGGTATAATTTATCTCTATTATTTATAAACGTTATAATGACCCTTCAAATTAAATCATTTACTCAAGCTTTATTTGCAACCACACTTTCATGTGGCTGGGATTTGTTGTTTAGCAAAATATTGTTGACTTCCAAAATAGTCAGTAATAAATAGCCCAGTTACTGTAGCTGAAAATATAGTAATATCTCCGAATTTTTTATAACTGCATCGATTTTTCTCAAAATTTAGAATTAGGCTCATCTTACCCCCCCACTTCAAAACTTATATATGTGCTAGGTGTGCGTTTTGTTCTTAAGGGGTGAAATCCACCCCTTATTGGAAAAAAAAGAAAAAATACAAATTTAAGCATTTTATGTAATCAAATCTTTTTTATTTATCCAGTATGAGTAATTTCATGTGCTATCTAACATGAAACTTAATGTATCCCAAATTTTGAACCTGGAAAAAACCTTTAAAAACCACCCCTTTGGATAATATAATTTTTTTTCAACTTGAAACGTTTTAATCATGCATTTTTATCAAATTAAAATTGATTTCTTGATTAAAAAATCTTTTTTATCGATTGCAACTTTTAAACCCTTGAAAAATACCTTCTTTCGAAAATAAAATTAAGAAATATTATTGAAAGAGTAGAAACATTTTAAATGTGCATTCGTATTAAATAAACATTTATTCCCTTCTTATAAAATAATTTTGAATTGATTGCAACTTTTTAACCCTTAAAAATTACCCCTTAGATTTATTTATATATTTATATATTTTTTCCTAAAATTATCACCTATACACCATTTTTTTGATGATAACTTTCTTACTTTTTAAGATTTTTAATCGCACAAAGGCTCATTTTGCAGGGAATTGTATGGGCTACGTGAACTGTTGAGTTGATCTTTTTTAAGCCCTTCATTTTTAAGTTTGAAGGGTTTAAAGGGCTCGAAAAGGGTGGTTCTCTCATTCATATGATAATTTAAAATGGCGATATTCTCGATTAATATTAATTCTAGAGGAATCATAAAAAAGCAAAATCTTCAGCAAAAATTAAGCTAAATTTTTTTACTCTTGTGTTTTATTCGTACACCCTTTAAGTTTTAAGTTACAGTGTAAAATTCGATTTTTTTTAAAAAAATTTGAAAAATTTACATTTTCAAAAATTAAGTTTTTTTCGTAATCATGCTTTGTAAGTGAGCCAAAGACCCAGAACATATTCTTAGAACATAAATGAGGAAATCTGTAAATGGATTGCATTTAATTTTAATTCTTTCGCCGAAGGCACTGATTTGTTTATTAATTTTTTCTTAAAAATAATGAGACTATCATGTTATTTCGATCATATTTTCCTTAATTTTGATTCTAGACTTTTAAAACAGCTCATTTTAAAGGTTTTTCAAAGTACTTTAAAAAAGGTTCAAATAGTTTTTTCCCTAATATTATTATTTCACGTTAACTGGTTCCAATTTAGTTTTTAGCTAACATATAATAATGTTTAACTCGGTTAACTCCATAACTCGGTTTATATTGCAATTAGAGAAAAACAAAATAATACCATTAGATTTGTTTTTTTATTACCTTTCTTTTAGTTCATTGCAACTGTTTCGTTAAATCCAATGGTTTCAGAGTTATTTGCAAAAAACTGTCCGAAAACAAGCCCTTTTTAGTAAAAAATCAACGTTTTCAATGACGAATTACTCTAAAAGTATTGGATTATCCAAAAAACTTTATATAACATTTGTTACTTAAAATTGACTCCTCTAACGATTACTGTGGTTATTTTGGGCGTAAAAATTTCCACACGCAAGAAGAGGTGGGAACCACCCCCAGGGCAAAAGCACACTTCGGCACTATATAAGTTTTGTTCCTTGAGGCATTCACCACATTCAGTCAAAATTTCACGTCAATTGGTTCAGTTATAAAGAATTCGGAGGTAAAAACCCTGAGTAACTGGACTAAAACTAGATCTGTTTTTTATCATGCGTGGGGAAATTTTCTTTTTTTCATCCCCCCTAATTCGACTAAATCACAAGAATCTTCTAAATTGTTTAGTAAAAGATAAACAAATTTATACTAGTCCAGTAATCGACGTTATCACAAATCGACATCTTACGTCTTTTACCCATAGAATATAAATATATTCTATGCTCTTACCTTCCTGGTAACTTCACTAACACTGAAAAATTAACGTACTGCTAATAAAATTATTGTAACAGGGCCGTTAAAGAAACATACAGAATACTAGTTGGAATCCCTTTTCAACATTTAACATGAACAGGATGCCAGCATCGAATTGATGTAAATGACAAAATTCTTGTGTGGAGATTTTGGGGAATAATTCAAGGTTAAAAAATGTTCTAACATATTTTTATTGCTGCAAAATTAAGTAGGCCTTGTCGGGAAAATAAACTATATTCTATACAGGGTGGCGCAATTAAAACAGTCCACCTGAAATATTTTCAGTGGAACAGGGTTTTCCGGAAAACCCCGAAACAGGTCGATTTTTGTAAGAGGTTGAAATAATCAACACCTATGACATTTTTTCTTATAATTTTTCTTCGATAAAATTTTTTCCTTTTAAAAAAATATGTCTAGAAAGCCCCATTCAATTACTAATTCATTGATCTCTAAGCTTTTTCGAAAAGTTAAGGATTTTTGAGAAAAAAAATAAATGTATTGCAATGGATTTTTAAAAACACGAGCTGTTTAACGCGTGTGTTTTGCCGAAAAATCTAGTGGCCTGTTCTTTGCAATGGAATCTACAGGAACAAATGTCAGTATCATTTATTGTTACTGTTTTCTTACTCTTTCACAAGTTTTATGATTTTGTGTAGAAAATATTAGTTGATAAACCAAGAATATGTTTTTTTCAAAAATTTCTTTATCAAAAACCCCTATTAATTTTCATTAAACATTTTTTCGGTATTATTTAGATACACCCTGTATATGGTTAAGATAAGATATACCTTATTGTAGTTATTAAATTATGGAAAAGGCCGAAAAGGACTGGTTTTTCATGTGTTTCTGCTGTATTTTTAAGTTGTAAGGATAAAATCACTATTATGTTCCTAATAATTTCCTTTTAAAGGAAACCCTGTATATATTGGCTCATTTAAACATGTCTAATATTTGAAGAAAACTATTTTTTTAAGAATAACTTTTCGAAACCAAGAAAGAAAGTTTTCTCTTTTTTAACTCTACCATGGTCAAAATGTATCTCTAAGTATATTCTGAACAAACAGAGATATTGAAATTATATTTTATGTACACAATACGTGAATAAAAGTGGCATCTAACTTTAAAAAAATAAGACACTCAAATCAATGGTGTAGATATAAAGTTTCCTGATTATATCTAAAAATAAGCCATTGGAAAAAATAATCTCTTGACTTTTTGCATAACTTTTACTGTTTTGGTACAAAATAACAATTTACAGATTTACGCACATTTAAACTTATACAGGGTATAACACAACAGCATGTTGAAAACGAAAGAGCGTTTTCCTCTTCCAAATTTAATAGCATTTTTTTCTGTGTATTTGCTGTTTGAGTCCTGGTTTTCGACATGCAGTGTTAAAGTTAAAAAACGAAGTGTCAGGATATAGATATCTTTAAGAGACTAACAAGATATGTGGGAAGACTAATGAAATGTTTCTCATAAAAAAAAGTTAAAGGAGTTTCATATTTATTTTAATAAAAAAAAGTGCAGAAGACCCCATGCAACGACAATTTATAGTTATATGTACAATTCAGTGCTAGTTATAATGTAAGATATCTGGAAGTTTTCACAAAATTTCAGAATTGAAATGTTACCTATATTCTAAATCATATTCTGACAGACATCTTAACTATTTTGTCACATTTTAAGCTACATCAAATGCATTTTTTATATTATGTTATTCCCAAAGGCTTTAATCCTCACCGATCCTAGGTGGTTTATTTGAATTGTAGAAAGCCATCATTTAGGTCCACCTTAAGCTTTGAGGGGATGTCCCTATAAAACGATAATAGGCAATTTCAATTGCATTCGTTCTTTTACTAAAATGATAAAATTATCAAATGGAAGCAAAATAAGAAAAATATAAAGAAACAGGAAAGGTATACTAAAATAATGTTAATTACTTCAAATTAAGTAAACATTTTTTTGCTCTTTAAATTAAAACTACTCAGTCCTTAGTTTCCAGTAGCAACTGGCAAAAATTAAAGTTAGGGGACAATTTCTAGGTCCCTTTAGAGATCGTTTATAAAGAAATTATGGAAATAGAAAATTTAATTAATTACCATCCCTGAGATCTCAAAACAGAGTTGAAATTGAAACATATTTGAACAGTTGAAATAAATAAATGCATTTTTTTCTATAATTATCCGATAGATACAAACAGCTTTTTTTCTTAAAGTTATAGCATTATGAAGTTTGAAAAATAGAACTTCCGTATCAAATTAAAATTTAAATATGTAGATGTAACTAGGAAGAAAATTTAATGTCTCAAAAAATTTAAAAACGCTTGTTTGTATCTATCAGTTAATTATGAAAAAGGGATAAATTTTGCTTATACCCAATTACTTTCAAAAATTTTTTTCATCATGAAAGTTTTCTATATGAGCATAGAAATCATATCTTAAACTACAGTATGAATTCCATACTTCATTATCGAAATATGACTACTTTAATTCTCACCAGTCGCCACCTTTATTCTGGAAAGCTGAAGAGGAAAACAATACTCTAAAAGCATAATAAAATAGTCAATCAACAACAACAGTCATATTTCTAATACAGTTATGACAAAAATGCTCTTTAGTGATTAAAAGTTGCAACTTAAAGCATTTACAATCAGTGAGATCGACAAAAGTAGTAGCAACTATAAAGGGTCATAGAAAAAAATTTAAATTTTAATTTAGATGTGTAAACCATTCCATATGGTTTTCAAGGTGATCATTTGTTATTTTTGTAAAAAGTCGGTAAAATAAATATACATGGTAACACAAGAATGATTGTTAACTGCTAAAATTACCAGATGTGAATAATAAATTTAAAAAAAAAACAGTTAAGTTTATAGTTTTTCAATCTATACCTCAGGAATAGAGTTACTTCAATTATTTTGCTAAATGTTACCCTCAATACACTCCAGTCCTTTGGTATTTCAACAGCCAATTTCATTTCTGTTAAAAAAGTGTTTGGAATTATTGTAAAGATTATTTTATTACTTACTCAAAAACATCGATATTTTTATCCACCTCTGTCATTTTTAAAAGATCTCCAGGCACACGCAATGGATTGAGCACACCTTTACTCTGAAATAATAAAACAGAACTATGATGAAATTCACACTCATAACTGGACATCCAACGAAACCACATTGTCCGCGATTTATGGGAAAAACAGTTTAAGCTGAACAACTGCATAAAATTTGCAGGGTGCATTGCAAGAAGATACCGAAGAAATTCTGATAAAAACGAATTTCTTCACTATTTACCATATCAAACGGCCCGATTAATCAAACCATGTACTGATTACGATTATTAGGCAATGTGAGGTGAGTGTATCCTTAAAACTGTTACTGTTATTATAAAAAAAATAATCAATATTTGGCGAACAAATTTGTACCATTATTGTGTGGAAACTGCAACTTCGCAAAATTATAATCGATTAATCTGTCATAAAAGCATAAAATCAATACTTAAGAAGTGTTATAGCAAATAAAACAAAACCATGGTGGGATGACAAGAGTGAAGGGATAGTAAAATTCAGGAAAGACATACAGAGGATACAAAATAAACTTAAACCTGAGTAATTTAATAACAAATTTAAAGAAACAGATGATGAAGGAAAAAAAACAGTTGGGAGAAACGAAAAAAAAAAACAAATGGAAGGGGTACTGTGGCAGTTTAAATAAAAGACTAGATACAATTAAAGTTTGGTCCAAATTAAACTGTTACAAAAACAGGGCAAGTGCACAAAACTGCTTTCTCTTTGTGTAAACCCCAGGTCATTGAAGAAAAAACAGACAATAAATCATAATCAAACAAAAACCTGTTAAAATCTTTCTCAATACTTTACTCACTTATAATTGCACAAGAGGTTTGTACTTTAACGGATAAATTTGGGTTCTTTAATGAGAAACTGTTGCCTAGCAATTAGACAAGAAAAACTGCTGTCAACTGTTAAAAATGTGATACCGAAGATGGTGCGTTTTTAGGTTGACAGTTTTTCGAGTAAAATTGCTAAAGGAAACAGTTTAGAATTTAAACAACACAAATTTACCCAGTATCAAAACAAACATCGAGTGTAATTCGGCAGGACAATTTAATGAATAAGAAAAGAAATTTAGAAACATATCAATGCAAACATTATTTATGAAATACTAAAAATAAATACATTTTTATTTGAGCGTACAATTATTAAACACGCAGTTACTGAAATTCATACGAAGAATAGGTACTAATATCGCTACAGGTGCCACACACAATGTTGAAGTTCTTTTGATTCAATAATGCCCGGATGATACTCTTTGTCAACTTGTAAGTATGGTTTTATTGATGATGAATTGCTGTGTCCTGTTATTTTTATTAGAGCTTGTTCTTCAATTCCACTTTTACTTAATTCGCTAACTGCTGCCGCTCGATTTGAGCGATTTGTAATTTTAACACGTTCGACATCTATACCAATGCGTTGTGCTGAACATTTAGTCCATTTGGAAATTTCATTAATTCTAATCGGCACATTTCTATACCAACCTTTAGAATTTTTTTTCTTCCAAAAGGGATTTGGTATAAGAAAGACCCTGTCCAATGTTATGGAAATGCCTCGTTTTTCCACCAACTTTTTAAATAAGCGTACTGGGCAAATATCTTCCTCTAAAATATTAGGCATAATCCATTTGCTGTCACATAATTTATTGTCACGGCCTTGTCTCATTTTCGAAAATAGATAAATAGATCTTTTCCATTATATTCAGTTTCAGATACGAAATAAGTGGTTTTGCAGTTGCTTCTCCTCCCCGCCAAGCTAATTCAAATGCCAAAATGAGATATAATTTTATATAATCTGGCCATTTCTTTTTTCGGGTTGTGCTTGTAGGATTTTACGTTTAGCACTACATGCAGCTCGTGATGAATTAAGCTGTACGTTGGTGAAAGGGTTAAATACAATATTGAATTCTTTATAATATTTACTTTGTAGCATTTTAGCGGTGTTGCAAATTATTTTAACTACCGTTTCTTTGTAGTCTTTTCCGTCACATTTTCGCATATTAAAAGCCCAATCTTGCAATATTAGATTCAATTTCTCGATGGAAGTATCTGGCTCAAATTTATATCCTTCCGCATCGCAAAAAGTAGAAAATTATCACCAGATTGATGATTAAGTCGCAACTGTATTAGAAGGCACACGGGTATTAACAATTTGACTAATTTCGTTGTTCGTAGACTCACCGAATCGACTCACTGTTAGTGTTTAATAATTCGATAAGTTGTTGACAAAAATGTTAAACTATTTATTTTGGCAACTCACACCACGATAATTGATTAAAAAATGAACAAGTGAAAAAACCACTAGTGCAAATGTCTCAAATTTTCTGTTATTATTGGACGGAAATCTCAAAAAAAATAAATTTAAAATAGCACATCCTACATAATATAGTATAAGCTCAATTATGTAGTATGGAATTATCCGTTCGGCATATAGCAGTTTGTTTTGAGATATTTTTTTTATAAAATTTCAAATATGGTCTCAAAAGGCATGGATAATTGAGTTTCTACAGGATATACGATAAAATAATTATTCTTTGAGAACCCAATCTTAGAAGTGATTAAAGATTCACTGTAAAATCACTGTAAAATGGATTTCAAAGCACTCTCCCACTTACAAAAGAAAATATAATCTTGTTATATCATCATGACAAGTTCGTGATTATGACGATTAAGATCTTAAAGAATGACATTCATGGTATGTGTGGCCTTTCTTGAAATTTACACCACTAAAACTTCTCGAAAAAATAACAAAATATAAGCAGACCGAAGAATATAGAAACTTGTAAATTTATACAGTAAATCATGAGGAGTTCTTTGAAGCACGTGAATCAAACATTTCATTGCTTGTTTATTTTATAAAATAACTTACAGGTAGGTAAAAAAACTTACATTTTTACATTTAGCTTTAACATCATCTTTGAATAGATCTGCAAAACTCTCCAAAGACCTAAGATAATGTTTATATGATTCAATACCTTCAGATCTTAACGCCTCTGCCAATTTTATTAAACACTGAAATAAAAAATATTGGCTACTGTCGTCCAACTTTTTTGAAGCTGTTCCATTTGAAATATCAGAAAGCACCAAGTAGCAGTCCCTACAAAGTGAAAGCAATACTTAATAAAAATATGTAATTTACTTTTCAACATTATTATCATATTTTCTTCTTTTTCATTCATCATTTCAGTCATTCATCTTTTTTCTGGAATAATAAAGTACCTTCAAAGAACAATTAGAATGGCTCAGAAACAATAACACCCTCGTAGTTTTAATGTAAAATACTAATCTACAAGCAATTGTACGATCTATTTTCATTATCAAAACATTTTTTTCCCAATTAATGTTTTAAAAAAACAATTCTCTGAACAATATTACATAAAGTTTTCCAGTATAAGAATTTTTTCCCTCATTTTTTTTTCAGTAGTCAAAAATATTCAGTAATTTGGACTGGGCTCAAAACAATACATTCTGGATTACTGAGGTTTACACTATTTCTATATTCAAACAGAAATTTCAGTTCCGCTCTATTAGGTATTACTTTTTATTATATATCATTTTCCTGAAGTCTAAACAACATATTTTTTCTCAGCTCCAAAGATATCCAATTACGAGACAACAGAACATCATTTCCAGGAAATTTTACTTTTCCTGTTTAATTCAAAGAAAAATGGTGCTGAAAGTCATTGCGTGCTGTCAGAAAATTAGGGTGAACATACTTCATCGATAAAAACGTGTGAGTATTGGTTTTGCCGTTTTAGAAATGGCAATTTCGCTAGTCGACAACGAACCCCTGGTCAACCGATGATGGAGGTTTGGAAACATTACTCGACCAAGATTCATGTCAAACGCAAGGTGAACTTGCTAAATCGTTGAATGTTGATCATATAACAGGTTCCAAAGGTTTAAATGCATTCGTATGATTCAAAAGTAAGAAAATTGGGTGTCATACGAATATTTGACTTCAATGGCTTCAACAGCAAAAAAGAAAGGTTTTTCTGCATCATATCATCACTGGCGATGAAAAATGGATACACTATAATTCTAATTCGCCAAATATTCCTCCATCTAATTACTATTTGTTCCAATCCATGAAGCACAGCCTGGCTAAGCAGTGCTTCCAATCTTACGAAGATACGAAAAATTGAATCGACTGATGGATAGCATCAAAAAATGAGTTGTTCTTTCGACACAGAATCCATATGCTGCCAGAAAGATGGGAAAAAGTAATGGCTAGCAATGGACAATACTTTGAAAAACAATAATTTTTCACTATAAAGCCTTGAATTTACAAAAAAAAAATCCCTCAAAATTAATTCAGTCCTAGTAAATTATATTTTTTTTGATAAATTTGTAGAAAAGCCTTTAAAACAAATTAAGTTTTTTGAAAACCATACCTTAAATTTATGTGAGTGGTATTTGTTCTTTTCTCATACAAAGCGATGTATTTTAGAACTCTTGGGATTATATCATGTACTGGTCCTGTTTTATTACTAAATTTTTTCAAAATATCCAGCCAATTTCTTACAGAATTATTTTTGTCATATTTTTTGTCTTTCTCATGAAGCCATTTGTTTAGAGCCAGATTGGTATGTTTGTGACAAATATATCGTATCTCGCTAATTGACTTATGAGGCATTTTCTGTTGGATCAATCCCAAATCGCTAGCTCCATATTCTTGTAATATCGCAAGAAGCATTCTTTTATCCTCAGTAGTCCAAGACATAGCTACTAAAATATAAACAATATTACTAGAGATTTTTTATTATAATAAAACAATAAAAAAAGTTTTTTGTTTATTTATAATTCAATTCTATTGCAATATATAAAAACAAGGACACCATAATTTCTATAGAATACTATCTTGTCACATTATAGGTGTTTTAATTAATAACTGTCAAAAATTGAACACTTATAGTGAAAATAATAACTTCAATAGGTTTGTTCAGGCTCGGTTCAGGTATAGATGTCGGCCAATGACCATAATCCTACTCTGAAGTCAAATAGGAATAGTTCTAGAGATTTAAATCACCAACTAATATTAGCTCCTAGATACTTACAAAACAAAATAAAAAATAATTTTAGATTAATATCTACTTATGTTTTATATACTAATCATTTCCATAGAAAAAATTAAGGGAAGAAAAAATGTTCATGAATTTTTGTGATTTTCAGAAGGCATCTCATCGAAAATTGCTTGTGTCGAGATGCAAAAAAAGCATTTTGAAGCTTTAAGTCTCTAGTTTCAAGATCTTTATATAGAAAATTTGTTTGAACTAGGGTTTCTTCAAAAACCATAACAGGTTCTTGCAGAAGTTTTATTCAAGCTTTCAAAACTGCCCTTAGATTTACTGTGAAATAATTTCTTGCAAAGGTATCGATAATTGAAGACAAAAGTGTTATAACCAAAGTCACAACGAGACATTTCAAAAAGCAAATTGAATCTGAATAATAAGCTAATTGACTTCTGTATTGAGTTTGAAAAAATGTCCATGGAGTCTAAAAAAAATGTGTTGGCATTTTTTTTTTAATAACCATAATGCAAAAAAAATTGTCTAAAGAAGTTGAAACTAGAGACTTAAAACTTCAAAATGCTTTTTCTTTCATCTCAACACGAGAGACAGCCTTCTGAAAATCACTAAAAAATTTATGAAAATTTTTTCACTAAAATATTTTATTTTGATGCAACCAGTTTTCACTCAGATATAGCCTTTAGAAAATCACTAAAAAAATTATGGAATTTTTTTTGTTTCCTTAATTTTTTCCAGTACTTTTGTTGACTTTATTGTTTTAAGAAAAATCTGTTGAATTTAAAAATTATACTTTCTAAAGCTAACACCCTTTACACACCTGGTATTTCAATTAAATATTAATTTTCTGTTAAAAAAATACCTAATGTAGTTTTCTAATTTTTGGAATTTTTTTTAACACATGGACCACAATGTTGAAGCAGAAACAAAACCCTATTATAAATGTTTTATGTAAAACTTAACCAATTTAGTGGAATTGACTAACCTAGACAAAAGAAAAATTCAAATGTTGATGTAACATTGGGGAATAAAAGATCATCTAATTAAAAAGCACATGTATTTTTTTAAATATGTTTGAGAAAAATGTTTGAGCTGAACAAATCACACACACTTATAAGAATCCAAAATGTTTTCCAAAACTTGAAACGAATTTAAAAAGAAGTCCTCATCGATGCCATACTTCTTGTAGTGATGCAAATATACACCATGATTAAACATATTCCAAGAGTCTTCAACGATAAAATTCAACGGCACATACACCCTAGTATCGTTTGATATCAGCACTATGTATTTGTCAAAATTTAAAAAGTTCTTAGTTTGGTGGTACATCTTAAAAGAATTGTCTCGTGTTAACCAAGGCACATAAGTTTCGTTTTGTCCAATACACTTCGTATCTTTTTCAGTTGGATGATCAGAGCCTCTTGTTATCAGCGTACTGCAAATAGTTTTATTACGGAGCTTGGCATGTTTCTGGTACATGTAATCAAAGCGAGACTGCTTTGAAATTGTGGTCATAAGCGTTTTCCATGACTTAGATGCTTCAAATTTCATATTCTGTTTCGAAAAATGTGGTTCACTTCTCATTTGAAGAAATTTATATGATGGATGCGAAGTCAAATTGTTTAATAAACATGTAGTGTCTATATTAAGAGGTTGATAAAGTGCAGCAAGCTGTTGTGCGATTATTGTGTTCATGTGTGAAAAATCTACATCTTCGGCATCCAATGCATATTTACAGGTATAGTGCAACCTCTCATTTTCAAATAATATCGTACTGTCTGCTAATGAATATAAATGGGCTAAAGCTAATAAGCTGTTATAACTTTGTGTTACGATTTCACCTTTTACATAAGGAAGTACTATACTATTAACGATATGCTTATTAGGATAATCATTCCTTAGCTGTTCTATTATAAAACTTCCCACTCCAGAACCCGTGCCTCCTGAAGAGCTGTACAAGTTTAAGAAACTACTTAAAAAATCACACTTTTCAGTCTCTGTTCGTATTACATTCATTACTTCATCCACTAGAATTTTTCCATTTCTTGTATATCCACAAGCCCAATTATTTGCCGAGCCACCAAAAGATTTAGCTACAACATTTTTAAATGTGTATGGTAACGGCTCCAGTGACTGGATTGCTTTAAACTCTGTGTCGATAAGCACTGACCGAGGTTCCCACTTCCCATGTTTATTAATACTGAACCATTTATTCACTATCCGGTTACAATAAGCGCTATCTTTTGAAACATTCTTTGCATTTATGTCTTGAGTTATAGTTGAATAAAGACTATTGCCTATTTGATTTCCACACTGTCCAAATTGTAATGATATAACACTCATTACTTGAGAGATATAAAATATAAACCATTAATTTCAAGTGACCGTTAATATTAAATTTGAATAATCCATAGAAAAATTGGGGTTATAAAAATGTAAATATATAAATTGGTAAATTTATATACCTACTATTGTGTCAAATATATAGAATAATTATGAAATCAAGAAAAATAAAATAAAAATATTTCAGTACTTACTATTTTGTAATATGTAGTATTTGTTTATATTTTATATTTATGTAAATGTAAATAAAAATTATAACCTAAAAAAATATTATCCAACTGAACACTGAATAGTAACAATATCAGGATCAGGACATTTCCCAGCAGCAGCAACATTTTAAAATTAATTGTCATTGTCCCTAAAATTTTATCATTGTTGTTAGAGATGGAGATTCGAAATTTTTATTCAAAGATGTTATAAGTGTAAAGAAGAAAAATTAATCTCTAGTATAGAGTATATAGTACATAAGTAACTATTTAGCCAAACTTTAATAATAATTATGTATCCACAAACCTATATGCATGTCATAGATGTTTTTGCATATACGAGCGTAGTTTCGGGATGAATTTTTTTGAAAATGGTTTCAAAATGGGTTGATGATCACTAAAGACTTACAGAAATATATTGTCGCATGTCGTTAGTACGCACTGTTTTCAAAATAAACGGAAAACATACCCTAACTTGTATACTTGGCTAAGTATATTATGCTATGAATAGAAGTCATGGATAGAGAAAATACCTACCAATACTTGGGACTTGGTCAAGCGAGAGGAATGAAACATAAAGAAAAGAGACTTATGGTAGAAAAAGGATTCTCTTAAAATGCAGCTCTCTGGCCTAAATAAAGTAAAGGCAATCAACACATATGCCATACAAACAATTACTTACTGTTTTGGAATGACCACATGGTCTGACACTGACTACCAAATAGAGAACAGAGCTATAAGAGCTTCACAAAGAATTGAGCCAGATATTCAAAAGATTCCGTAGACCGTTGCCGAAGGCCTCAGAAATAATTTTTTTTTCACAAAAGAGAGAGGTATTTATTCACGTACCATCGTGATCGTAATCTCGTTAGGTATAGCCGACAGGAGATTTACCTTACTTCTTTATTGAATCTGGCAAACAGGGAATGTAAACCCTTACAAGAAATGATTCATGCCTCCTAAAGATACAACAATGAAGAACTAAAGAACTTCATGGACATTCAGCAATCTTTTTTGACTTGAATCAAATGAATACCAAAGCCTCGAGCACTTGGTTAGAGAATGGAGACTTACTGAATCAGAGGGTTTTATGATGGGAATTCTGGACCAAATAATTCTAATAATAATAATTCTCTAAATTACCGGAAACACATCATAAAAGACCACATGACAACAAATGCCGAGTATGTGGTAATAAATTAGAAACGATTGCACATTATCACAAGGTACACCATTCTAGCACCGACAGAATATATGAAGCGACGCGATAATGTTGCAAAGTAATTTACCACCAAGAATAACCATGTAGAAACATTAACCTCTTGTTATAGAAAATCAACAGACACATGAGATCTACTGGGACCACACAATATAGAATAACATATGTACTACAGAATAAAACAAATAAAATTACTTACCTAATAGACATAGTTGGACCCGCTGCCCACAACATCCTGGACAGACAAACGGAAAAGATAAGAAAGTACATCCCGCTCATTGAGGAGGTTAAAGAAAAGTAGTTGTGATATCAATAACAGCAGAAGCGATATAGGAGATACCAAATAAATTACATGAAAATATGGATAAACTATACTTACCATCGCGACTTTACCTCATATTACACAAGTTAGCTATCATGGAAGGTGCTGAATACAGGTGTTTGCAATAGCTACTACAAAAATGAAAAATATTTTCAAATTAATTGAAGTATTTATCATGCACAAAGTTTTTTCTAACATAAATATGGAGATTTACATAAAATTCGTCAGTAACTGCATTCGGAATCAACAGATCAAAACTGAATGATGATATAGCCAGAAACAACTACTCTGCAAGATACTTGTCCTGGCCAGTATTGAATTATCGAAATTGCAGGTCGCTCTTTGCCAGTGTGGCCGTGTTAAAAGCCCAGGCATTGAGTAACAGTGACTATTCATAGCATTCAGCATTCTATTATATCTCGCTTATACTATATATTGAAATTGCAGGTCGCTCCTTGCCAGTGTGGCCGTATCGAAGGCCTAAGCATTGAGTAGCAGTGACCATCATAGATGTAGCACTGTGTATAAACTTTGAATTTTTCAGATCATTTGAAACAATTAGTATTATTTGCTGGCGAATTATTTGTAACTAAAATCTAAAACTTAAAAAATCAGATAAAATAGAGCTATTGAAACACTCATATTAAAACAGAAAATGCTTATTTGTTGTCGAGTTATTTATAACGAAATCGGAAGCTGCTATAAGTTTTTGCGTGCGGCCCCAAAACCATTCTTTATGCGAATACGTGCATACTCTCATTTACCCACGACTTTATATGAATGTAAATGGACTGTACGTGTACAAATTTTCATTATTTTAAGGACAAGGCAACCTTGATAAATATTTGATCATAGTAATTTGCACAAATTGACCATTGACCAGGCAAAAAGTACCTAAGCATCACAACTACACAAAACAAAATTATTTTATTAGCCGTCAAAATATATTCCATAGACAGATTTTCTACATATGTTGAACGCAAAAAATCATTGAAATGGTCCCTTCAAAAAAACATAAATTCAAAGTACGATGTTTTTTTTAGTTTGTTATGCCGTGGCCTGTGTACCTGGTAGCTGCCTTCTACAGAATTAACATTGGAAGCATTTGATGTAACTTGTTACAGAGACCACTGCGGAACGGCTTAGAGGGTATAGATTTGTGGAAGCAGACATATTTTGTCAAGTATAGTAATGTCGTATATATGGATACAATTGAAAGCACGTCTACATTGGAAAAAGTTATCCAAATGGCACACATTGTGGATTATTCAATGATATTATATTGTGTCTTTTGGTATGTGGAGATGATAAATAAGAACGCATAAAGAAACGAATGTAGTTGAATGTACAAATATCAATTAACACTTCAAGCAAGCGAACAATTGTCAAGCGCCAAAGTGTACCGTTCAAATAACCTTGGCGAATATTTGGCTACTGACATGTTCTCGAATTTATCGATATACACCATCCACACAATACGACATTTAGGCCAAAATTCATGGGTAGATTCCCGAAGCAAAAATGTTGCGATTTAGCCGAACTTACCTTAGTCCAAAAGTTGATAGTTAAAGAGATATATTATAAATATATTATTAGTTTTTTTTTCATTTATTCCTTAACAAATGTAAATATCCTCACAAAAGTCTGGGGTTTTGAGTTCTTTAAGTAGAGGAATATAAATCTGTTCACATTTTGGTTAAAGTTTATAGAGGGCGCTAGCTGCAGTAGATTAAATGTGTTAAAAACGACATAACTTTTTTTACACAAAAAATGTATACTTTATGAAACTAGCTGTCTCGCGCCGTTTTCGAGATATTTGGCTTTGAAACTTCCAATGCTGTTGAATTAAATTGCAATTAAGTGCCTATTATTAATTTAGCGGAAATTAAGTTTGGACGAAAATCAAATAATTGACATTTTCCACTTGTCTTATTGCTGTCATTTGTATGCTACTTTCCATTAAGTATTATTCGCACCTAATTAAAATTACATCTTAGCTTACAATTTAAATTGTATGTACATAAATGTAAGATAGAATGCCGATACTTTCGTTTTTGGGGTTACATGAAATCAGTTGTTTATGGATAAACTATAAACACCTGGGAAGAACTTTGGCAGCAGGTTTTAAATGCTGCAAAGTCATTTCGCGTTAAAGATTTATAGGTACTTTAAAATAAGACAATCTTTTAGTAAACGCGTTGATAAATGTATTGAAGTTAGAGGTGAACATTTTGAGCAATTATTGTCAAAAAGGCATATTTTTTATTAATGTTAACTATTTCACTATTCATCGCAATTTTTAATTCTAAATAAACCCTTTTAACATTTCTAAATTATTTCAAATATATCAACTATTAGCACTGGAAGTTTCAAAGCCAAATATCTCGAAAATGGTGCGAGACAGCTACTTTTATAAAGTATACCTTTTTTGTGTAAAAAAGTTGAAAAATAAGAATTTGATACCAAAGATAACAGAGATACTTTAAAGTACAAAAAAGTTATGTCGTTTTCAACACATTCAATCTACGGCAGCTAGCGCCCTCTATGAACTATAACCAAAATGTGAACAAATTTCAATTCCACTGCCCAAAGAACCCCAAACCCCAAAATTTTCTGTGGATATTTGCATTTATTAAGAATTAAATTAAAAAAAAACTAAAATAATATTTTACATTTAACACCCTATTTATTCTTAACTATCAACTTTTGTACTAAGGTAAGTTAGTTTAAATCGCAATATTTTTGCTTTGGAATCTATTAATGAATTTTGGCCCATTACCTCGAGACCACCCTGTATACAGGCTGTTACAAATTCGCCTTGTTTGAGGTGATATTGAAAAAAAAGAAGAACGGTTTCTCATGGCAACTTTTTGCCCTCTATCGAATGGCATAATCAATTTTTATATGTAATGTTTCGTCTCTCCAGGACCATCATCGACTTCATTTTTTTAAATACGACCTTGGAAATTTTATTACATTATTGCAAGCCTTCATGACCCCCAATCATTATGCCTCTAAAAAATCAAGGCTAACATGAGTTATTTTCGAAATATTTGAAAATACCGAAATTTTGGAAATGCGTTTTTGTTTCATTTCAGCCTTGTTTGAGGTGATATTGAAAAAAGAAGAACACTTTCTTATGGCCACTTTTTGCCCTCTATCGAATGGCATAATCAGCTTTTATATGTAACGTTTCGTCTCTCCAGGACCATCATCAACTTCATTTTTTTAAATACGACCATGGAAATTTTATTACACTTTGTGCAAGCCTTCATGGCCTTCAGCCCGAACCAGATTCAGACGTTTTGTCTCGAAAAATTAATCTTCAATGTATTCGTACCAAATTTATCTATTTTTTTAGATTTCTGTGTTTGTTGAATTATCGTACACTTTAAGTGTCGTTAGACTCTGTGACATCCACCGAGTTATTTAAACTATTACCATCACACGTTACAATAAAACATTCTACTAACATTTGACGCTAATGG